TGATTACATTCAAGCTAAATGTTTTTGACCGAAACAAAAAATATAAATGTCAAATACTTCATATTGCTTTGCATCACAAGACAATGTTGTCTGGGCATTAGTGGTGCTAAGACTGGAGCTGGATTAAGATGTACTGTTATCTTGCTCTTCTTGTGCCCTGAAGGACTCAGTGTAGAGGCGCTTTGGCATCACATGACTATCAACCATTTCTCTGAAGGTTTAATGAGCTCTTGATAATCCTTGCCTAAATCAGTAATTTCCCTTTGGAGTCTCCTTTTCTATGTCAGCAGGTTTTATGCTACACTATTTTTTAAAGTTTTTATTTTAATTCCAGTTAGTTAATATACAGTGTTGTATTAGTTTCTGGTGTACAATACAGTGATTCAACAATTCCATACATCACCAGTGCTCATCAGACAAGTGCACTCCTTAATCCCCATCACCTATTTCTCCCATCCCCCCACCCACCTCCCCTCTGGTAACCATCAGTTTGTTCACTATAGTTAAGAGTCTGTTTCTTCTCTCTCTCCCTCTCTGTTTTTTTTTTCCCTTTGCTCATTTGTTTTGTTTCTTGAATTCTACATATGAGTGAAATCATATGGTATTTCTTTCTTGGACTTATTTTGCTTAGCATTATACTCTCTAGCTCCATCCATGTCATTGTGAATGGCAAGATTTCATTTCTTTTTTATGGCTGAGTAATATTCCTTTGTGTATAGATACCACATTGTCTTTATCCATTTATCTGTTGATGAACAAGTGCATCCATAATTTCACTATTGTAAATAATGCTGCAATAAACATAGGGATGCATGTAACCCTTTGAATTTGTGTTTTTGTATTTTGGGGGCAAATGCCCAGTAGTGCAATTGCTAGATTGTAGAGTAGTTCTATTTTTAACTTTTTGAGGAGCCTCCATACTGTTTTCCACTGTGGCTGCACCAGTTTGCATTCCCACCATCAGTGCAGGAGGGTTCCCCTTTCTCTGCATCCTCTCCAACACTTGCTATTTCTTGTGTTTTAGATTGTAGCCATTCTGACAGGTGTGAGATGATATCTCATTGTAGTTTTGACTTGCATTTTCCTCATGGTAAATGATGATGAATATCTTTTCATGTGTCTGTTGGCCATCTGGATGTCTTCTTTGGAGAAATGTCAGTTCATGTCTTCTGCCCATTTTTAACTGGATTATTTGTTTTTTGAGTGTTGACTTGTGTAAGTTCTTTACATATTTTGGATACTAACCCTTTATTGGATATGTCATTTGCAGATATATTCTCCCATTCCATAAGTTGCCTTTTAGTTTTATTGATTGTTTCCTTTGCTGTGCAAAGCTTTTTATTTTGATGTAGTCTCAGTAGTTTATTTTTTATTTCATTTCTCTTGCCTCAAGAGACATATCTAGAAAAAAGTTGCTATGCCTAATGTCAAAAAGGTTACTGCCTCTGTTTTCTTCTAGGATTTTTATGGTTTCGGGTCTTACATTTAGGTCTTTAATCCACTTTGAATTTATTTTTGTGTATGGTGTAAGAAAGTAGTCCAGTTTCTTTTTTTTTCCACATGTTACTGTCCAGTTTTCTCAACACCATTTGTTGAAGAAATTGTCCTTTTCCTGTTGGATACTCTTTCCTGCTTTGTCAAAGATTAATTGATCATATAGTTATGGGTTCATTTCTGGGTTTTCTACTCTGTTCCATCGGTCTCTGTGTCTGGTTTTTATGCCAGTACCATACTGTTTTGATCCCTATAGCTTTGCAATATAACTTGAAATCCAGAGTTATGATGTCTCCACCTTTGCTTTTCTTTTTCAAGATTGCTTTGGTTATTCAGGGTCTTTTGTGGTTCCATACAAAATTTAGGATTGTTTGTTCTAGTTCTGTGGAAAATGCTGTTGGCATTTTGTTTAACAATATTTGTTCTTTAACAATATTTGTTCTTCCAATCCATGAGCATAGAATGTCTTTCCATTTTTTTGTGTTATCTTCACTTTCTTTCATCAGTGTTTTATAGTTTTCAGAGTATAGGTCTTTCACCTCTTTGGTTAGGTTTATTCCTAGGTATCTTATTATTTTCGGTACAATTATAAATGGGATTGGTTTCTTAATTTCTCTTTCTGCTGCTTCATTAGTGGTGTATAGAAATGTCACAGATTTCTGAACATTGATTTTGTATCCTGCAACTTCACTGAATTCATTTATCAGTTCTAGCAGGTGGAATTTTTCAGGTTTTCTATATGTAGTATCATGTCATCTGCAAAGAGTGAAAGGTTTTACTTCTTTCTTTCCAGTTTAGGTGCCTTTTATTTCTTTGTTGTCTGATTGCTGTGGCTAGGACTTCCAGTACTATGTTGAATAAAAGTAGTGAGAGTGGACATCCTTGTATTGTTCCTGACCTTAGATGAAAGGCTCTCAGTTATTCCCCACTGAGGATGATGTTAGCTGTGGGTTTTTCATATATATAACCTTTTATTATGTTGAGGTATGTCCCCTCTCAACCTAATTTGTTGAGGGTTTTCATTGTGAATGGATGTTGTATTTGTCAAATTATGGGGCACTATTTATGTACTAGTTATGACATGAACCAAGTCATTAGCTTCTTGATCCTTGATTCCCTCACCTGTAAAATGGGTATAAAAAATATAACCAATTCACATAGCTGTTGGAAGTGTTATATGAAATGACCATGGATCACCGGTGCCTGGTGAAGTGTATGCATGCAGTAAGCTTTGGTTATTTTTCATTATTGTGCTTTTCCTTATTTCAGCAGTGACAGCTTATGGAACATTATCATTGGCCGCCAGTGTCAAGTCCTTGAAGCAAATGACAACATATCTGATAAATTGCTGCTAAGGAGTTGAGGCAGTTAGACTTTTGAAGAAAACTTACACCATTTTTTATTTTCATTTTTTAGAAGATTTTATTTATTTGAGAGAGAGAGCACATGCACAAGCAAGGGGAGGGGAAGGGGGAGAGGCAGAGGGAGAGGGAGAAACAGACTCCCCACTGAGCAGGGAACCTGACATGGGGCTCGATCCCAGGACCCAGGATCATGACCTGAGCCGAAGGCAGACACTTAGGCTGAGCCACCTAGGTGCCCCATTAAGGCAGATTGGAATTTGTTTCAAATAAAGGCTGCTCAGCTGAGCTGACCCTCAGCGGAGAGTAGGAAGATATCTGCCCCTGGCTTTTGGATCCTACAAAGCCATGTAAATGAGCAGAGTTCTTAAGAGGTTTCATTTCCATGTTGGGGCAGATAGGGTAGAAATTAGAGAACCCATAGTAATGTGACAGCTAAATTCTCTTCCTTAGATTGTCTCCAAACCTTACCAGGACTCCTGGAGGACCTCAGAGTCCATCTGTCCTTTAGGTGTCCCAGAACCATTGGGACTTGCCTAGGCTGACGGGAATGAGTTCATTGGCCTGATGCACAGAAACCAAAGTGCATAGAGGGTGTCAAGTTTCAGAGGAAGACAGAGGATTTAAAGTCAGACCAACAGGGGTCAATGTCTTAGCTCTGATAGATATTCACCTATCCCTGGCCAAATCCCTTACTCTCTCTGAACTACAGTGTCTTCATCTATATAATAGGGACAATTAAAGCACTTAGTTCAAACGGTTGTGAAATTTTTGTTAGATATATAAAAGCATTTTAAAAAATATGAAGTGTTATATAAAAGCTCATTAATTCAATGTTAATGTTAAGGTTATTCTTGCTGATCTTCATATTTGGGGGGTCCACTAGTCATTCTTTTATTCATTCAACTTGTCAAATATTTATTGAGCACTTTGCCACATACCAGACCTTAGGATTAGGTGCTGATGTAGAGTATAGAATAAAGCAAATCCGATCCCTGCCTTCTTGGAACTTACATTCTATAGTGGGAGACATATGATAAACAAATGTGCACATAAATAAGTGTATCATTATAGTCTCCTCTCCCCAGGTATTGATGTTATATTTTTTAAATGGAGATATTGCTTATACTCTCTATATAGATGCATTTTGGTGGTATTATCCATGAACTGTTCACAGAAAATTCAGAAATGAATTTCTTATTTTAAATAAAGAATAAGATTTTTAATATAGAACTAGAAGAGACCTTAGGAATAGTTTATCTCAATCCCTCCATTTTACAGAGAAGGAAAACTTGAAACCAGAATACTATAGAAATTTCCCCAGTCTGTGTATGCGTGTGTGTGAGAGAGAGAGAGAGAAAGGCAGAGAGAGAGACCAGGGTCTTGATGCAGGAGTTAGAACCCAGATTTCTCTTCCCCTCATCAGTGCTTTCCACTTTGCTGGGGTCCATCTGAAAGGGCCAACTTGTATTTTAACAGTAAGTAATAATTACCACACTTTTATACAATGGGTTTCAATTACTAGAAATTGGGGACACAGCACAATTGATTTTTCCAAACTTTGCTCCATAAAACTAATACTTTAATAGATGTTAGTAGGTTATCATTTTTTAAGTTGCTTAGTCAAATTAGTTTAAGAAACTATGCACCCACCCCCAACCCCTGCCTTTAGGAATCCAGAAATGAATATTGTGATTGTAAAAGATCATTCCTGAAGTAAGGAAGCCTCTTAACCATGTACAACTCAGCATTTCCCATACTTACTTGACTACAGAATCTATTTTGAATTATCTAACAATTAATGTGCTTACAGTGTGCTGGCTGGGAAGTACAACTTTAGCATCAGTTTTGTTGGCTTCTTGGTAAAGTCTGTGAAAGCCTAATAGTAAACTAAGTTGTATCAGACAACTTTTAAAAGGGTAGCTTCTTCGGTCTTAGGACCTCAGGCTGACTGTGAATATAGCAGTAACACTTAGTAGGATGCATTTTCTTAAGTTGACCATGTCCTTTTAATCGAGGACCAGAATAGGAAACAATGGAAACTTAGTAAGAGTATGTTCTGATACCTCTTTGGAGGAAAACAATCCTCTTTAAGTTCTTAAGCATGATTTCAGGCCTTTAAAAAATGACTGTTTTTCTTTTTAGGCATCCACAAGCCCAGTGTTCTCCAAAAGGGTGTGATGTCTCCGCAGGACATTCACATAAGGTAGCTGGACATCTTGATTCTGAAGTGACTGTGTATCTTTGTTTCAGACTTGTCCAAGTCGATGGTTGGGAAGCCTATATGTGGCTGCTTGGTCAGGTCATCCAAACATGAAACTGTTAGTGATATTTTGAAGTCTTTGAGACAAAAGCCCAGCTTGCTAAAGAACTTTGGTTCAGCAGAGAGACAGGGAGGTACAGTGAAGAGAGAATCAAAAGCCTGGAAATTTGCTGCTGAGAATAAATGCTAGCTGCTCCCTGAGGTGATTTGTCTGTGCACTCCACTCTCTACAGATGTTAGAGCCTCTTTTTGAGTAAGGACCCGAGGTTCTTTGGTAGCACTTTGATATCCTGCTCGAATTCAATATGTGAAATGGAGGCGTCTCTCTGTGACTTGGAGCCCACAGCAGGCTTTGAAGTCTGATCCAATTTTTGCTGCCTACTATTTGATGTTGAAAGGATGAAATGAAGAAAATGTACAGTTTTTGCCAGTAACTCTGCTGAGCATATGTAAGATTAAAAAAACAAAATCCTTTGGATGATGTACTTAGAAATGTTAAGTAGATTAATACCTTCCTATAGGTTTTCTTTTTTCTTTCTTAGGGATAAAAATTAAGTATAGGAGAAAATCAGCACATAGCTATTTTTTATATTCTGGATTATAATTAAGAGGGGGCTAGGTTAACTTGTTCAGAGGAAGAAATAAATGAATTAAGCAAAAGGTGCTGAGACTCCACTAGTAATTGCCCCAAGGAGAGGACCTCCTCTCAATTCTCATGCAAGACGGGGGCAACTCACCACATGACCCCAGTATACTTAGCTTCTTCCCCATATCATCAGAGTTAAAGGTCCCTTAGTTAAATGGAGGCTATGTCCTTAAGGCTACTTCATCCAAAGATAAAAGTAATGTTTCTTTTTGGGTCTTTCCAAAGCATTCCGTTTCTGGGACTGATCTACTGTCTTCTCAGACATGCCATGCTGCCCCAGGTCGCCCAGGACCAAGTCCCTCAAGAGGAGCCCCTGCAAAATCTGGTAAGAACATTTTGAACTGCATGCTGCTTCTACCTTTGGCGTGCTTGTGCACTTTTTGATGAGTTGTTTAGGCAGGACTGTCTAGAAGGTGGGACTCAGATAGTAATATGACCTAACATTAGCAAAAGTTCAGGTTTGTGCAACCATAAAGGCTGGAAGCAAAATGTGTATTAAAGGTAGCCATTTACTGCCTTCTCATGCCACTCAAGTTTACTTCTCTGAGGGAAGAAAGTGAATATCAAAGGCCATTATTTCCCTTTACCTGTTAAGAACCTCAAATTAGGCAATGACTTCATAATTTCATTTTGTCAAAGGAAAGATAAACAGTTGACCAGCTTTCAGTGGAACAGATCATTTTGGGTCAAAATCTAGGGCTTAGTAAAGAATATGGATTTAGAGAGTAGTTCTGCTCTTTTGGCAACACTACCATTCTTTCAGCAAGAATACACACATCTTGCCACACTGCTTTGGGAAATAGCTATTTATGGCCCCTTTTCTAAATTCTTTGCTACAGAATATGGTGAAAGTTAGTTTGGGGGCTTATGTGTGGCTATACTGTGCAGCTTATGTGTCCTTCTGGAAGATAAAATAGAAGCATGATCGTAAGAAATATTTATGAACCAGAAGATACTAAGAGCAGTGTGGACCATTCCTAAGAACGAAACCTTTTCAACTTAAAATACTGACATTACACTTAATGTAAACCTCATCTGTTTTTCTGAAATATGCAGTAGGTTCTCAGGTCTCTCCAAATTTCTTCTTAGCCTGTTTTTCAGTGACAAAGTAGTACAATATGAAGTGAAAAATGTACATCAAATGTGTTAGGACCATCAGTCTGTATGGAACTTAAACTCTTGGAAAGAGACAAGAGAGGACAACTGTACTATAGCAGAACCTTCTAAATGGGTATGCAGAAAATAATAAATCTGTCAAAGGGAATATTATCCCCACAGTGTTCAGTGTTCCCACACAGGCAGATAGTGTTTAGGAATAAGACCACAATGAGGAGAGGTAGGAGTAGTGCAAAAAAAGAGGAAAATTTAGGGAAAAGACTGTGGTGGAGCAGAATCATTATGCAAGAATTTGGTTGGCATTTGTCTCTATCCAAATGGACAATCTCTACCTTTTAATTGGGTTGTTTAGACCATTTATATTTAATGTGATTATTGATGTATTTTGGCTTAAATCTACCATCTTGCTATTTATTTTCAATTTGTCGCATCTGATCTTTGTTCTCTTTTGGCATTCTACTTTAAAATACACATAAAAAGAAAAATTTTAAGTATGATTGAGTAGCCAAAGGCACAGATTCTGGAGTGAGACCTGCCTGGATTCAAATCTCTGTTCTCCTGTGTAGTGTTAATTGAGTTATGAAACAGCTCCTTATCTCAGTACTTACACATGTAAAATGAGTAATTTGAAAAATTTTTTTAGATTTGCAACAATTTGAAAAAACTCTCAGATGAACTGCACAGTTTAGAAATACTGAAAAAAATTAAGAAAAAGGTATTACTGTATGAGAACAGTATATAATACATATAACATATATCATATGTGTTAATCAACTGCTTATGTTATCAGTAAGGTTTCAGGTCAACAGTAGGCTATGAGTAGTTACATTTTTGATGAATCAAAAATTAGACATGGATTTTTGACTGTGCAGAGGTCAGCACTCCCAACCCCTGTGTTGTTGAAGGGCCAACTATAATTCCTTTTTATTGTATTCACAAAAGTATCTGACTGTGCAAATTGGAAATTAAAACAACCAACCCAAAACTGGTCTTTTAAAACAGTACAAGAAGTCTGAGAATAGGAGAGTTCCTGGCACTTAGTAAGTATTAACAATTGTTGAGTAAATAGATGAATAAATAAATATAAGGACAAATGTTTAAAGGATACATTTTTAAACAGTAAAATCAGATAAGGTCTGGATATATGCCTATCAGTCTAAATAATTTCACTGCTTGGATTAGTTGCAAAGTGATTGGGGGATGGTTGCACTTTTAAATGGGGTGGTTGGGGTTGGTTTCATTGAGAAGGCTTGAAAGTGGTGAACTAATTAGCCATGCAGTATTTGGGAGAATAGCATTCCAGGCAAAGGGAATATGTATGGCAAAGGCCCTGAGGGGAGAGCCTGCATGGAATAGGTGAGGAGTAGAAAGAAGCCGATGTGATAGGATCTGGGAGAGCAAGAAGAATGGCAGGAGGTGAGGAGCCAGATGATACAGGTCAGCACTTCTTCTTCTTCTTTTTTTTTTTTCTCAACTTTTATTTATTAAGTCATCTCTACCCCCAACATGTGGCTTGAACTCACATCCCTGAGATCAAGGGTTCCATGCTTGGGGTGCCTGGGCGGCTCAGTCAGTTGAGTGTCCAGCTCTTGATCTCAGCTCAGGTCTTGAGTTCAAGCCTCACACTGGGCTCTGTGCTGGGCATGGAGCCTGCTTAAAAGAAATAAAAAATAAAACAAAATAAAAAGAATCGCATGCTCTACCGACTAAGTCAGTCAGGTGCCCAAGGTCCGTACTTCCTAATGACTTAACAAGCACCCCAGGGATCTAGTTCATATGAAGATTCTGATTCAGTAGGTCTGGGTGGCTCTGAAGATTCTGTAACTCTGATAAGCTTCCAGGTGGTGCCAGTATTGTTGCTCTGGGGCCCACAATAGTAAGGGTATAAACTCAGTGAAATGCAGAGTGCTAAGCATTTTCAGCACGGAGTGACATGACCTGAGTTGTGTTTTAAAATGATTACTCCAGCCCGTGGGTTGAGGATAGACTACAGACCTCATCAGTGAATGAGATATTCTGGGTAAGTTTCATTTTCCAGACAGCTAAAACCTTCTGAAACCTATGACTCCCTTTCATACTAAGTGTAATGAACACAATTCTTTAGTGTCTCAGTACATGATCATTAACAATTATCACACTGGGCCGTAATGCAGAGAGAGTCCTAGAGACCATTGTGAAATGGGACCACCTACCCTTTCCTGTGATACCTCACCTAAGTGAGGTAGGTCTGCCCTTGGTTATCTTCTCATCTACAAGCAATACAAATTATTCATATTTCTTTTTTAAGTTTTTTTTAAGTAAGCTCTACACCTAGTGTGGGGCTTGAACTCATGACCCTGAGATCAAGAACCGCATGCTCTACCAACTGAGCCAGCCAGGTGCCCCCATGTTTCTTTTTGAAGGTCAGAAGGTCATTGCACTTGCTACATTGCACTTGAACTCCATTGGGTCTTAAAGCTGGAGCATGGCACATTTGTAGGGAGCTGAGGAGCGAGTGGAATTGCACTGGCCTCCCAAAGGAGACAGTTGGCAGCGCACTGTGTTGGGCTGTGGTAGAGCCCTCGGGGTGTCTGATGTCAGGTTTAGTGATCTGATTTGAGATCTTTCATGGCCTGTCCACCCCACACTTCTTCCCAGTCTAATGCCATCTCCTTCATTATTTTTCTTTCTTGTTGCTCATTGCTAACTCTTACTGATTTTGGCATTGGTTCAGCTATCAGAAAGCAAACTTGGGCTCTGTTTTATCCTTGGAACTCTTAATCCTTAGGTTGACCAAACATCTCCATTTTCCTAGAACTGAAGGGTTTTCCAGGATGTGGGATTTTCAGTGCTAACACCAGGACAGTCCCAGGCAAATGGGGACAAGTTGGTCACCCTATTAAAATACTAGAAGTTGAACTTGATTTGGGGAGGAACTGTTTTTTTAATTAGATCACTGTTTCAGGCAAGGCAAAGCCTTAGATCCATGTGACAGAATTGCCTCACACTGCCTGCCTGTGTTTGGAAGGGGTTACAAGCAGCTTGCCAAACAGCAAGCACTGTGACCATAAAGGGCTCAGATGTCATCCATTTGACCAAGAGAGCATGTTCCTACAACGGAGTCTCAAAGGCAACATAATCCCTATTGGGAAAGCACATGGAAACCAAGCCCTATATGGAGGGAAGGCTGCTAGGCCTTTGGCCTGCATCTGATGCCATTATGGAATGCCACGCACAAGACTTCGAGGCCTCTCTTACGCCCTCGCGTATGGGTAGTCTCTGGTACTCTGAATCCCTCCTCTTTTTTTTTTTTTTTTTTTTTTAAGATTTTATTTATTTATTTGAGAGAGAGAATGAGAGAGAGAGCATGAGAGGGAGGAGGGTCAGAGGGAGAAGCAGACTCCCCACCGAGCAGGGAGCCCGATGAGGGACTCGATCCCGGGACTCCAGGATCATGACCTGAGCCAAAGGCAGTTGCTTAACCAACTGAGCCACCCAGGCGCCCCTGAATCCCTCCTCTTTTTGGCTTCCATTGGCCTGAGACATCTTTCCTTCTTGCCCAGGTGCCACAGAATTCACCGTAAACCCTCATCAGTGAGACTGGTTAAAGCCTGTCTCAGGACTTTTCTCAGTGAGATAGTAAAGGAATTACAGGCATAGAATTCTTATTCCATTAGCATGGGAAGTGGAAAAAACCACCTCCATGTTAAAGGATCTTTTTTGATGAGTGGTGCTCAAACTTCAGTGTACATCAAAATCACTGTCATTCCATAGTCTCTGATTTGGGGTAGAGGAGAGGGGGAATTTTGTTTTTATCAAATTCCCAGCTGACACCACACTGCTGGTCTGGGGACTGCCCTTTGGGAACCACTGCTCTAGGCGTCCCCTATCTCTGCAATACTACACTGAGTCAGAAAAAGTGAACTGTATATGTATGGTTTTCTGTTCATTCAACAAACACTTACCGAGCACCCACTGTATATCAACTGCAGGCCAGGAAGTGAAATAAGACACTTAGAGAATGTAATGTATTTCTAATATCTTGGTCTTTGCTGTTATTTTCCAAAGCAGGTTTGGGAATACACCAGTGTCCTTATTTATCTCAAGTGGCCTCATTAAATTCTCAGGAAGTTGTCAAGAACAAAGTTACAGTTATTTGTAACTTGGCTGTAGAGGAGGAGGAGGGGAGTATTCCAGATTTTTATAAAGTGTCTCAGTTTCTAAAATTAT